CCCCAAAACCCCAAAACCCCAAAACCCCAAAACCCCGTTTGGGTTCGTAAAGATTGAGAGTTTTGGCTTTAAATTTACAGCATTATAAATTAAGTCTACCTAACCCTAATAATCAGAGATTTATTTAAAATCTTACTAAAAGTATAGCCAATGTCTTCATGCTAAAGGTAGGAGCATCTATACACCCAAAGTACAATTTCTCTGTGTCAAAAGTTACATGCTAAGAGTCTAAGCTACACCTCCTTCAGCATTAATTGTGATAATTTGAGGACGATTTCTTTAAAATTTGGGCGAAAAGGACCAAATGGACCAGCTGTAGCAGGATTCTGCGCTCGTATTGAAGATAATTTTTGATTAATAAAGTAACTTCTTATCAGGGAAGAAGGGCATCTCAAGCCTCTTCTTGTTGGGTAATACGAACTTGTACAGCTGTTTTTGGAATATTTCTTCAATGAATTTTTTAATTTTTGGGAATATAGAGAACGACAATTTGTTGTCCTTCCCAAGGATTAGGTCAATTGAGAATTTTATTTGTGGCTGCCCGACGAAGGAATACCAGTTCATCCTTTCAAAATCTTGAGTGAGAAAGATCCTTAGCTTCCCGGTGACACTCTGGACTCGTACTTTAAGAGTTATAGGGATCAGAGCGTAATTGGTCTTCCGGAAATTTAGATGTACTTCTGTGGAAAGAGTGATATCCACAGTTCCTCTGAAAGACAGGTCTACGTCTCCTAAGAATTGATGGTCGTCAGATTCCAGTTTTTGGAATGAGAAGAAGGTTGGTGCACTGCCACCGATAGCAACATCAAGCACTTTGATTTCTCCTATGAATTCAGGCTTTTCATCGTCATTATATACCTTGTGGAGTTGTTTGCATAATATATTATTTAGTTCATCAGATTTTTTATCTGTATACCAATAGTAGACCACCTTAGCAAGTTGGTTAAGCCAATGGGCTGTCTCTACGTCCTGAGGAGGCAGGTTCTGAGGTTCTGAAATTTCACCAACATCTGTTTCGATCTTGACAAGCTTTTTAGTCTCTTCCTTATGCTGTTTCTCTTCTTCCTCGACCTCTAGTATTTGGATTTCAGTGGTCCCTTCTAGAAAATTTTAATGGAAGCTTACTTCTTTCTTTGGATGTATTTGTGATCTTGAGCATGCTGGATTGGTCCTCATCAATGGAGTCCTTCTTGCGGTTGTTTGACATGGAAATCTCAAGCATGGAATCGTTGAAATTAGTGCTACTAATTTCTTCAATGTTTGAAGCATTAAAATCTATAATTTTCCTGGTGATGTCCTTCACGCTTTGGGAAAACTTCTTCTCACCTGAATACTTTCGGAGGTCATTGATTTTTGGAGTAAGGTCGTCTTCGCTATCATTGACACAATCCGAGAGATTCCCCATGTTTACTTCCATTTTGTACGGAGAACTATTTTGCTTTTCCTCTTCAATGATATCCAGAGATTGGACGAGAGACTTGCTCTCCTCGTTAGGATCCTGAAACTCTAGAGGTTTTGGGTTTATCTGGTTGAGCTTCTCAATCTCAAGCTCGTAGAAGCTCTTGATCTGGTCGATGAAAGCGTACCGGACATCATCGATCTTGTCATTCATGACCTCTTTGAGTTCCTTGATGGTGTCTAAATTTTATCCATGGAGGAATACCTATCGCTTCTACGAAGCAACTCTTGAATTTCTCGTACTTATTTTGAAGTGTGTTGAAAGCTTCAATTGTGAGCTCCTTCCTGTTTTTAGCCTCTATTTTGCTGTAACAGCTGAGTTCGTTCTTGAAGAGCTTAGATTCAAGGTCTCATTTTCTAGAAATTGATATGATTTTTTCTTGAATTTTATAGTTTTCTTTCTTGAGATCATACTGGAGCTCTACAGGTATAAGCAAGAGGTGCCTTACCCCACTTTTTGAAACTATGAGAGAGGTGAATGAAGATTTCATTGACAGATTCGAGGCTCTTTTTGGTCTCCTCGTCATAGTAAGCCTTCTTGATGGAATGCAACTTTTCGTACCTGATACTTTGATCGATAAAAGTTGACATGCAGTTTTGAATGACATAATCAACCTCTTCAACGTTGTCTAGGACTAGATTGATCTCGCTGATAGTGGTCTGGAGATGAGGTCTTAAGACTTACTTTGAGAAGATTCATAAAGGCTTCTGATTTGATCGTCATAGATGCCTTCGTTTGAAAATTATCATCTTGTACTAGATCATCGTAGTTTTGACCTTTGCGAATGGGAGATGCAAATTTGAATAGATTGTTTACATTCGATAATGATCGTACTACGATTGAAGGCCTTTCAGCTTGAACTAACCCTGACTCCTGTTGGTCTGTGAACAAAACATGCTCAATAATGGAGACTGCTTCTGTGAAACAGTCTATGTAGGCTCCGATCATGCTATGCACCGTACTTGTAAATGTTAGTAACTTATCCTGGCAGGTAGTTGATAAGCAGGTTAGGATGATTTCCTTAAGATTTTTCATCTCACCACTTAGTTCTTTAATGTTTTCTTTAGATTCAACAATGCTGGTGTTGTGATCATGGAGAGTCTTTTGAGCAAGTTTGGCTTTCATTTCCATCTCCAAAATCTTATCGTAGGAGCTGCTTCCCTTAGATTTAGCTTTTTCATACTTGAGTAAGGTTTCTTCAAGCTCGGTCTTTGACTCTTCATATTTGAGTTTGAGGGTATCAAGTCGGTCTAGTGTGGAGTATTTTTCTTTCTTTAAGCTATCATAGTTATCCTGAAGGGTTCTGAATTCATCACTCTTCGCTGAGAGGAAGGCTTCCAGCTGGCCCTTGATTGCATTCTCGATGAACATGGCGTTCTCTTGGTGGAGGTGCTCGAGGTTCTTCAGAAGATACCTGACCTGGACCCATTTACTATCCTTCTTAAAGATATGAAACGTCTTTTTCTTAGTGAGGGAGTACTTGGCCTTTTGATCAACAATGTTTTTGAAATTCATCTGGAACTCAACCTCAGTCACTCTGCTGTACAGCTCAATGAAGTATCTGATATAACTCTGTGATTTGTTTAAGCGTGAACGAAATTGGACTTCAAAGTTTTTGTCATCGTTCTTGTGAATGATCCTGTTCATCATCCTTCGGCTCTCCTTCCTGTACAGAGGAGCGTAGCCACTGGTGAGCATTATGTCAGAGCTCTTATCGTTGAGCTCATGAAGGGATTTTTCAATAACTTTGCGCTTCATCTTTTCGCTCTGCGTCCTTACAGGTGAGTCGAATTCCTGAGCATCTTCCCTATGGCCTGGCTCGTCATTATCTAGAGCGAAAGATTCTTTAGGTTCGGTAGTCTGTCTATTATTTGCAAGCTCAGAGATATCTTTATCAATCAGCTCCTGATAGCCTTCAAGTCTGTTATTTCCAGAAAAGCCTGTTATCTTCTATGTCCTTAGATGTTTTCAGATAGTCTTCATAGTTGAAAATTTTATAAGCAATATAAAGCTCGAAGATAAGCAAGGAAGTTATCCCAAAACTGACTCCGACCAAGAAACCTATTCCTATGAACAGATACATCCAGTAAGCTAGGATGCAGGTGGAGATGATATATAGAGCTGCTTGGGCCCCAAGCCTGTTGGTGCAGTCTTTGGCAGTTTCCATCATTTTCAAAATTCTTATCAATAAATATTTTGGATCATGGGGTTTTGGGGTTTTGGGGTTTTGGGGTTTTGGGGTTTTGGGGTTTTGGGG